GGTCACTTTAAATCCATCTTAAGGTGACAACGTTGTTGATGGATACTTCGGCCAAAGCTTCGTGACATTCTAGAAGTAACTCTGAGTAAATTCGTGATCTGTTATTCAGGGTGAGTAGTGCTTGTCTGCTACCTTAATAGATAAGCATGTTCCTTCCAGAGATATTATTTCGGGTGATTTATTTTGCTGCTAAGAGAATCTACGTGAGCTCGGTTGGAACTACACTGGCACTATTGCTCACACCGCATTTTATGTTTAGGTTTAAAGATCTGGATGAGTATATTCCACAGAATGGGCCTTGTTTTGTTTTAGGACCGTCAGTGTAGATATGAATCGTACATGCCACTTTTGGCTCTTCTCTTTGTTCTGTTATAACTTTAAATAGCTTATGGAAGATATATCTCGGTGAGGTGGAGTCAATGTTTCGCTTGAAGAAGTGGTAGCGTATCGAGCGCCTCCTGCCAAAAGTGACGTCTCGCCTCACCAGATCCTACATCAGGTTCTATTCCAACTGTGCGGAGGTGTGTCATTGTCATCAGAGCAACCTCCTTGATGTAAATATTGAGAGTCGGTACTTGCATGCATAATTTAAAAGAGGTCGATATATCATTTGGTATTATGTTTCTGGCTACTTTTAAATTTATACTCTTTTTTTATGTTAAATACTCTTGATCTAATAGTATGAGAGCCCACTGCAAATTTCGACCGTCATCTGATAACGAAATGAAATATGCTCCAAAGGCATGTAACAACATTGTACTTTACCAAATTGCACCTGTGCCAATCCCTATCCTGAGCAAAGTGGTTAAAAAAAATTATTTAATGTTCAAAAAAATCACATAAAACATGACAGCGACAATTATATTTTCCCTGAAAATTAGAATCCTAATTTATTGTGAACCTAGCTTTTAAACCTGAATTATTAATATTTTTAGAAGAAGAAGGATGGCATTGTATAAACCATTTGCAGAGATAGTCAATAATAATTAAAAACTCTTATTAGACAATTATTTTAAACCATAATCGTAGTAGTTTTTTTGTCGTTTCTATGGCAACCTGTAAAAATGAATCACAACTGAATCACAACAATAGGCATACAAATAAATTTTTAAATCAGCAAACATTGATTCATATTTTTAATGATATTTACCTACTATTCGTAGATATATGTTTTTGTGCGATGTTAAGAGGAAGAAAATGTTTCCCTTTAACGATATATGTCAAGATATACTTGAATGTTATTTTCTGGAAAACTTTAAGGGCAAACAAAATTAGCGCTGTCATGCCTTATGTGATTTTTTTAATATAAAATAATTTTTTTAAGACACTGCTCAGGATTGGGATTGGCACAGCTACCATTCGTTAAAGTACAATGTTTTTCCATGCTTTTGAGGTTTATTTCATTTCGTTATCTGATGACGGTAAAAATTTGCAATGGGCTCTTGGGCTATAAGGGCAGGTTTCCAAAGCTAGTTCACTTGACATGAAGTTGCAGTGTGTCACATCAGCTGTTATTATTTTAGGAAAGGTTATAAAGACCTAAAGTGCTTAGCCCTGGCCATGTCTTTCCTTTTTGTTTGTGAGACATTGTGAGAGGTGCGGTGGTTGAAATTAAGTTTATTATCCAGTTAAATTCCTAGATATTTACAATATTGTGAGGGTTTTATTATAGAGTTATGAATTGAAATGGTAGGAGAATTGCATTTTCTATTATGGTTGAAAATCATGAACTTATTTGTATTAGGACACATTCTCCATTTGAAAGAATAGAAAATAGTGTCACTACATAATATTTCATGCAATTTGTAAGTGACGTCTACCAGTTCGAGTGGGACTTAAACTGAAAAATCTCTAAAATGGAATGTTAAAATTACGTTAGAAATAATTATTCATCTTAACTTTTATAAAATATAGGGTGTTCAAAAAGTTTGAATTGAAATTATTTTCTCTGCCCTTGATTCTACGCCAATGGGTTATCGTAATGCATCGAAATAGAGTGTTTTAACTAATAATACCGATTAACTAACATACTTTTTTTTAAATTGAAGTCTATACCGTAAGGAAAGATATTTAGAAAATTACTTATTAATTAAATTCACTTTATGAAAAATGAAAACTGGGACATTAACAGGAAAATTATATTTAACTTTTTAATAATTAATTAAGATCTACAAATTCCCCATGTTACGGTACTTTATTGTGAAACACCCTGTAGATATTCTTTAACACGTCCGATTTCTATGATTAGTTTTTGTTAAAAAGGGGGTACTTCTGGGGTGTTCCCATATAAGTTTGGTCAATATCTAATAATTAGGTCCATGAGAAAATCTTCAGTCTTCGTTTTTTAATGTATATTCATCGATAATTTTTTAAGTTGATATTATTGTTTTTATCTTTGTCGTTTATAAGCCGGTAGGGTGATATTATTGTTAGTTTTTGAGTTAGGATTTTTTTAAATATTTCAACCCCCCTTAACCCTTCCCATTTTTAATAATTTTTTAAAAATCAGTAGGCTTCGTTCCATTATAGAGTTTGATTTTCTTGACATTTTTAAGTTGATGCAATTTTTCGTTTCTGACTTATCCTGCGGACAAAAAACGTGACATCGGGCGGACAAAGTAAACCTATGATTCACAGACTAATGTGTGAAGAGTATAATAATAAATATCTTTATATTTTTTTGCTATTCATAGATTTTTTAAACAATCTAGAATAACAAATTCGCAATACTTTCAAAGCAACGACGAACAACTACTAGACTAATTTTGTTTATAAAAATCGAATTACAAACATTCACGGTGTTATCCAAGTAGTTGTCAAATTATTATGAGTATGTGTGAGTTATGTTACAAGGATTGTTTATGGTTATAATTTGGTATTGACTTAATATAAGGCTCTAAAACGCACAAAAGGCTTTCAAAATTACATTAAGGAAGTATATTTGCATTCTTAATGCTACTTATCAGTTTAAATGTATTTTTCTCGTTGCAACTGTCATAGTTGAATATGACAATTTTGAAGTGTGACAACAGTGTAAAGCAAGTGTGTTAAATGTAAGTACTTATTGATTCATAAAACGCATGCTCGCTTCTTAGATAAACAAACCCGTCCAAATTATCCCCACTCAAATTAGCAGCAGTTTTGTTCTCTCTAATGAGGCAGTCGATGTGGGTCGGAGAGCAACTATCACAATTCGAACGGTATTCGTATTGTGAGAGTGCTCACAGCAAAAATAGCAAGGAAGATTAAATGGTCGAAAGAGGATAAGGTTAAATAAATTATTTACAATTTATGAGGAGAATCCCATACTGTGGGATATAAAATGTGTAGACTATCGCATTTATGATGAAGAGATATGCAGTACGCTTCAGTATCGTCCAGCGTATCGACACCATTGCCATCCTCCGGGTTTTTGGAACCACTTGTTGAACATCAAGCAGAACAAGGAAGTAGTTCGGATGCAAGTTGGCCTTTATGTAGTCGTTCTGGTGGGGAACGAACCGAATGAAAGAAAGAATTACAAGAAGCATTCAGGTGCATATAGGGAAAGAATTGTTACATAAAGGTTAAGATAGGGTTAAATTGGCATCTACATTAAATATAACGTTTCACACAGCCTACGAATGGATCAAATCAGGTCGTAGTCACATGCTAAAAAAAGGAGGTTAGAAACCAATAATTTAAAATGAACAGCAGGTAGATGTAATTATTAAACGGGTCGAAGAAAATTGTTCGAAAACATTAGGAAGGCTGAAAGAAAAAGTGTTAGAAAACTTTAATGTGATAATCTGACTTTTCACTTTAGGTAACTACCTAGAAGGCAGACTATTTACATTAAAACAAGTACATAAGCAGCCTGTAACAATTGACAGTAATGAGAATAAAATGTTAAGGGGGAATTATGTTCGTGCTCTTAATAATTACATCCAACTCAAATCTATTTTGTGGTCGTTCTAGAGTTGGTAATAGAGCCATACAATTGCTACCAGTCGCTAGGGGCCAAATTTAATTGGAGATATCTCATCAGCCGTCGCGGATCTTTTAATGAAGATGATGCTAATGAATGGATTTTACAATAATGGAAAACTGGTGGAAATCAACTTGTGGATTTGGTGATAGTGTGCGATAATGCTCCATGACATTCCAGATTAGAAACAGCATTAACTGGCTCTGCAGTAACTCTTTTGAGATTAGCACCGTATTCTCCAATGTTAAACCTCATCAAGACCATTTGGTCAAAGATAAAAAGCTTCGTGAATAATACCATGTGCAGTCCAGATGTCGTTGCTCCTAGAGTTATAGAACAAAGGCTGTTTACTTGTAACATATTGTAGACGAAGGGAAAAACACGATTGTAGGAGGTGATTGCGCTCGTGCGGTACAACACTCCTCGACTTTTCACGGACCAGCTTTAGCATTAGCCTGTTGGACAATAGCATTTCGTTTAAAATTGTTTGTTGTATATTCTAATAGGATTATGTAGATTAATTTGGAAACAAAAATGATAAATATTGAATATAAAATAATAAACTTTAAAATTCAAATGGAATTTTTTGGAAAACCTGTGACAAATTTAAAATATATTTGACGACTTTTGAAATTAAATTGATTATTATTTCAAAATACATTGCTAATTTCGAAATACATTTAATACTTTTATATTCGAAATGAAATCGATACTTTTCTAAATTAACAGTTTTTGAACTACAATTGGAAAAGATATAGATCCACTAGTTCCACGTAAAAGTGTAATGCAAAGGTACTGACACTTTTAGTATCATCATAGCTATGAAGACTGTCCATAGCATCTCATCTTTATTCTATCCCAATGGTTACACCAGTAACTGTTTGAAAATGGTAAACAGGAAACCAGCCATAGTCAACTGTTTTTAGCACATTCTTGGTGTTAGCAATAAAAAGCTAAACTTTATTAATTATAGCATTCTACAGGATTTCCATACCCGCGTTTACCTTTTATAGATGTAAATAAAACACTACGCTAAAATAATCTAGAAATTATGATTTAATTGTTTATTCTTACAATCAACTTTTTATATCTAATCTAATAGTAATAACGAACAAACATGGCACAATAAGTTGTTACATACATAGTAGTAAAAAACTTAACCTATATTGTTCATTAAAATACTGGTTATTACCTCTATAAGAACATAACTAGTAAATTTTAATTGTGAATTTGAATACTTTAATACTAGACGAAACTTCATATTTACAATTTTGAAATAGGATTGTACTAGGGAAAATCTACGACACTGCATAAGTAATCTTAAAGCTTTGTTCGTTAAAAATATAGAAATAATGACTCTCAAGTGTTTCGCAAATTTTACCGTTACAGCACAGTACGGCACGTTACGGTCAAAAACCGATTGGTTTGGCTACTTCACCAATGCGGTAATTACGTTGGTGTTATTTGGATTGTTTGACTAGATAACGTACCCGTTATGTGAGTCTAGTAATATAATGTTGCTGTCAGAAACGCTTGTTTATTTAGATATTTAGTATTTTAATTAACACCAACCATGTGCAAACTTATATGCTTTGTTTTATATTAGTAAATACAATGTACGAAGAAATATCAGTGAATTTGGTTCATTATAAAGAAACATCGAATCCTACAGAAGACCATGTGAACTTATTTACATGGTTCTCTATAGGATTTGATGGATGCCGTATTAGCAAAAATTTAATTTCTGATGATATGACATCCAGATCATAAAAATCGCTATGCGTTACCGTTTTCGATGATGATGGGTGGCGTTTGCTTCACCTGTAAGTCAAATGGCGCCGTCAATCATCTGTAAGTCGCCTCGGAGCGCCTCGGCAAATAATAATAACCGTCCCTTCCCCTATACAATTCGCTTAGTCGGCTTCAGAGGTTGAATTTCACTCGTAAGGGGATGAATTAGGGAGAGTAGATATTATTATAAAGATGAAGACGAATTGGAAAATGCAGACCGATTTTGAAATCTTATTGCCGTGCAAAATATTAAACTGATCAAAATAATTTATGGAAGACTTACATTAATTTATATTCAAGTTGGCTTTGCTCTAGCTTTTGACAGTTCTCATAAATTCGTTATTGCAGTTTTTATAGTAATGTTATGCGAGCTATTTTTGATCAGTACGGTCTCGCTCTAATCAATTAAGTTTACAATCTCCGAAGTGCATATTACCCGCCCATGATCATCACCAGTCAAAGTGAATCGTCATTCATCTAGAATGTACTGGAATGATGACGAAACACCTAGCAAAAATAATTTTGGTGAGAAAATGTCGGATCAGTCGATGTATGTTTTAGTAGGTGCTGATTCTTAGTTGTAGAACGTCTGGAATGTTCCAGAAGCCACATATGTGTATAAATACACTGTTTTATCGCTAAAGTTTTAAGTTTTAGTTAGAAATTTTCTGTTTACATAAATATTGACAATATAAATTACTATATTTGTAAGAGATACATAAACTAGCGTTGTATTTAGTATAAATAAATTAAATAACAAACTATTTAAATAAATAAATAAACGTTACATTGTTAGAATACTGTAAACAATTAGTGCATGAAACCAGAGTTGGTAAAGCAACTTAAGAGATTAGAGTAGGAGTGAACTGGTACGAAATGGCTCGCATGACAGTACCTACTTACTAATGATTTGGACTGAAAAAAAATTCAATTCTAGATTCTGCTGACAAAAACTAGAACAGAAACACTTGGGATTGATTAAAACAAGATAAACCTGCTGGACATTTGTATCTGATCAGTGTTGTTGTAACCTACTACTTCTTCATCCAATTCTTCCAGTAGCCCTAATGCTCGTTTTACATCTAAGCATCATGAATTGTCATACGTAAAGCACCCAGAATACAACTAATAATTCTTCTACAGAGATACACTCGGTCATATTAACATATTGTTATTATGATTGTCTAGAGCCGTATCGCGCTGTTATACAGGGTGGACACTTTTTTATTGAAATGTATGGCTATCTCTCAAACTGTTGATGACACAAAGTTGGTTAAATTGAGAAAAATTGTATATTTCGAAGACCAATTTGAGGACCAAACAAAATATCAGGGACGGTTTCAGATATATTTGATAGAAAACAACTGGTCCCCATTTTTTATTCTACTACAGTAGGTACCTTTACTTTCACAAATAGCAAACTCTAATATAAGATTTTTTATTTAATATTATGTGCTTATGACAGCGAATTTAAAATTTGTATACGGCGTTTTGTAAATGCTAAATACAATAATGCAACAACATATTGTGATTATTGAACATTTCGGAAGATTTGAACACCACTAGGTAAGTTTACTTACTAGTACGGACCTGTATCATGAATTATTTGATATAAGCTACTACCGGGCTACTTGAAAACAGCGGGATAACTTGAAAATAAACGGTGCCAAATGGTTTAGTTTAGATGCCAAATAAATAAGTCAGTTGCAGAACGACCGTACGACTATAGTCGACTATGCAGATTGTTTTTAATGCATACCGGCGTTTCACAAAATAATTAGGCATTCCAAACTGAATGCCTACCAGTGGGCTTTGACGGGTTATGATATTGCAAAATTATGGCAACCCTGTAGACCTGGTGATTTGACAAGGTCAATGAAATAGATAGTTACATAGATTGATTATCCATATTTTTCAAAATAAACATAAGCGTATGCCTTGAAGTAAAAATGTAAGCAATTATTTTTTTTAAATATCTAAAGGCTAAAAATTGGTTTTAAAACACATTTTTGCTAAACCGATTCAAATTAATAAATATTTGCCAGGCAATATGGCCGCTAGTAAACGACCAGCTTTGAGCAATCTATATAACTATATATGTATCATTGGCCCTGTTAATGACAACAGGGTTGCCATATCTAAACTGTCATTACCTTCTCTCCAAACAAAATGGTTGCCCGTGGGTAATGGCAACCCTGTGGGCCCGGTTATTTGACACGGTCAATGATATATAGATAGTTATGTAGATTGAACATCTATGTTTTTCAAAATATACATAAACTTATGCCTTGAAGTAATAATGTACTTAAATAATTATTATTTTTACCATATTCAAAGGCTGAAAATTGGTTTTAAAACATATTTTTGCCAAACCGATACTAACTATTGAGCTTGCGAGGCAATATGGCTGTTCGCAAAACGAGCTACTTGAGCAATCTAAATAATTATATGTGACCCTGTCAAAGACAAGAAGCCTACAGAGTTGCCATATCATAACCCACGGGCAGAATTTTGATATGTGGTTGGAATTTCTAACTGCAAAAAACAAAGTATGAAATTAGGTTCTTCTGTTGTTATTTTCTTCTTCTTATTATTATCATCGTTTTATGGTCAATGTTCTTCAGGACAATTCACCCAGCATTGTAAGTAAGGAAATGCTAAAGTCTTGCTCTCATCAAGTGACATTCCCACTTTTCCTTTTTTGAAATATATACATTTTAAATTAAATTGGTTTTCGTTACTTAGGAGGGTTTAGGAGTTAGTTTTTGACACTCTCCCAGTGAATTATGACAAAAATCACAGACTAATACTGGACTTCATACCATGAATGACAACCCAGTTTTTTCCAACCTATTTAGGTGACAACACAAAACTAAATCACGACAAATCTACGTATACGTACAATTCCTGATTGAAAATATCCTTAATCCCTTAATTATACCCTTTGGGACAAGGAGTGAAAGCAGCTATCAGGCGCGGTTGCTCCATAAGGTCATTTGGTCGATGACCCACCTAATTTATTTCAAACAATATTAAATATTTAACAATAAACTATCTTTAAAAAAGTACAATTACATTTTCATGCCAAAATTCCCCAATTATTACCAATGGAGCAAAACTAATATCTAAATACAATTCATTCTTATCCGCCCAGTCTGGCCGTATTTTAACTTGACCTTGTGGGTTATAAAGCAATCCACAAGGAAAAATGCATTACAACTAGTCAGAGATATAACAGCATTTGCCTCCGCTTTGAAGTTGAAAAGAGATAAGTAATTCTCGACGTCCGACCAATATATTTATGATATGCACGTACTCGAAAGCGCCTAGGTCTGCATCTGCATCATAGTTCCGTGAAAATAAAAACCCAAACAAATGGTTTGGCTTCAAGTTGTTTATGTTATTAAATTTCGGTGTATGGATTTTTAAAATGTTCTTTTTTTGACTATCCAATAGTGCCAGCGGCACTATCTACAATTCCACCTCTACAATAACTCATAAGCCGCGCCTGGATGATTACCAGAATCAAAATTATTGAAATATGCGACATATTACAGGCGAGGATATTGCCTTAGCCCCAGTAATTTACTACTAGTTCCGCTTATAGGTACTGTGTACAGTATGTTTTTATCTTATGTTGATGTATTGTTTAACAATTTTAAAACAGGTGAATAAATGCTTTTAATTAATTAGTTTCTGACAATACAACAAAGGAACTTGACCTTTCTCGCTTGGGGGTAGCAGTCAAGCTTTACACACACCAGGAGTATGGAGTGTAGAGGAAAATCATATGCTTATCTCAAAATGTGTCCACCCAAAAGCAGTAAAGAAGGTTTCAGAAAGTGATCAGAATGGCGAATATTTATATTATTATATTTACAATAAAATTTGACGATTGTCATCTATTATCAAAATTTCTCTACGATTATAAGCTCGGTCGCTTTTCGCGTTGTAGTTTTTCGTTTTTAAGTTATACCCTCTTATTTACATATAGGCGAGCAATCTATATGACTATAGAAATCATTGGAGTGATTGTGTGCACTGAATTATCGACTGGCACTACCTTAGGTGCTTTCAAACGCCATTCTGGTACAGTAACACCATCTTAATTGCATACATTTTGAGGGACACTTTTTGAAAACAGGTAGTTCTCCACTACACTCCATATAGTCTCTCATCTGACTGCAAAAAGTAACATGTCGGGTTTTTTCTTGATTAGTTGGTTACAGGGGAGGAGGTTAAACTAGAAGTAATATGTCCCGATGTGGTGCGTTTGATTTGATCATCGGAGATCTCCGAGCGCTTCAAATGTGTTTGAATTGACACTCCGAGAGATCCCTAAAGTGTTTGTTTCGCTTTGGAGCGAGAACATAGAGCGAGCTCGATGTTCTCAGTGCAGAAAGATCGAGAAGAGGGAGAAATTTGTCTCTGTCTCTACCTATCTCTTTTTAATTAACTTACAAACAAATTTGAATCTGAAAATTAAAGACCAGACAAGAAGTCAACAAATTACTTAGCCGCTTTTGTCTTATAGCTAAAATTATTCATCATAAAAAAACACAAAATGTGTGTTTGGAAAATACATTTTTTTCTGTCCAGATCTAATCACTAGTATGAGAGCGAAGCGGGCATTTGTGGTAAATGCTGCATTTTATGGCCATTACCCCTTATTATTAAAATTTTTTCCATTTTCTTTACTTTTTGCTCACTATTTTAACATACAAACCAGAAACAAGAATCATAAAAAAGAGAGGTTATGTTTTTTACTGTTTTATTTGATTTGATTCAATGCTCTATTGTGACGTCGTCACTTCTCGGTCTCCTCGACGCTCGATCGATCGAGTTTCAAATCAAACGCCCCTATGGTAGAAGCTGTCGTGTAAGCTGTCAAATTCAAAATATTGTTTCTTATCGATGATTTTTTGGCAATGAAATAATTTACTTCTAGAGGTCTAAAATAAAAAAATCCATTTGCAAGTATTTTTTGTCGTCCTTGCTACTTTCGGTGTAGGGGAAAGTGACGTACCTTGCACAGGTTTGTACCTTAAGCCACTTTCAATTTTCGCGCTAATTTTAGTCGCACACCATCCATGCGTAAGTGTTAGAACTATCATATTTCAGTAGCTGGCTATACCCGAAAATCAGTTGAATGTAAAGGGTTTTGTGAGTTTTGTTATGAAAATTGTTTTACAGCCAGAAAAGTAAAAAAAGCGAGGTAAGATTTTTTGTAAATTACATGTTAATTGTTGCTTAGATAACAATCTTAGATATTATGTTGTCTTCGCCATCAAACCATAATATTATATTTAGTCATCTCCTAACCTAAAAATCCTCACCTTGATTTATTTAAACACACGTGTGCTGTACCTTGAGCCAGGCCTTGGTGCTGTACCTTGCACCGGGTCAACGTACATTACTTTCGTAGTATAACTTAACTGGTATAGGAAAAAAAAATAGAATTTTATTCTTGATTACTTCATTTCAGATAATGCCAAGTAGTAAGCGAGGTTTAAAACGGCCCTTAGTCTCGAAAGGTGATATGGCAGTCGAGGTAATTTTGAAGAATAGAGTGTCATATAGGGAAGCAGCTAAAATACAGAAGGTGTCGAGGCATTCCCTCATGAGGCATGCCAAAAAATTTCGCGGGCCCAATGATGAAAAGTTCAAATACATAGTTCACTATGGTGTAAATAACACGAAGAAACTGAACTTGTCTCGTACTTAAAGCAGGCAGCACTTTGCACGAAGTTAGATCATTTCCTTTCAATACACGAAAGCAAATTTGAAAAAATATCCGGATAAGTGGGACGCGGAGCAACTGGCTGGAAAGTCATGGTTACGAGCAGGCTTTAGAGAAAGATTCAATAAAGAATTATCACTACGTAAAACGGTAGCAACTAGCCTTGGGCGATCAACAGGTTTTAATAAGTTGGGCGTGACTCGATTTTTTCCTAAAAAATATTGGAAAGAAGACCTACAATAGCCCCAGAGCGAATATGGAACTGCGACAAAACAGGAATTACCACCGTTCACGTCCCACCCAAAGTGTTAGCACCAAAAGGTGTGAAGCAAATTGGTAGTATTACATCTGATGAGAGGGGGACCCTTGTAACCATCATTGCTGCAATCAGTTCCTTTGGCAACAGTGTGTCTCCTATGCTCATTTTTCCAAGGGTGAAGTTTAAGGATTTTTATGTTGAAAGGGGGTCCCTCTGGTGCAATTGGAGCTGCGAATTCTTCAGGATGGTCAAATGAGCATCTTTTTCTCCAGTTCTTGGATCACTTCATTTGGCATTCTACTGATGACCCTGTGATTCTGATATTGGCAATCATGAGAGTCACGTTTCCATCCCTGAAATAATTAAATGCAAAGAGGCCGGTATAATTTTGCTCACATTTCATCCCCATACAAGCCATAAAATGCAACCGCTTGACTTAGGCGTCTTTGGCCCCTTTAAAACGTTTTATAACAATGCTGTAAATAAATGGATGTACAGAAAATTCCGAAAAACCTCTGACAATTTATGAAATCACCGAGATGGTAGGGAAGGTTTATCCTCTGAGTTTTGTTCCAAAGAATATTATTAGTCGATTCAGAATTTCTTGAATTGTTCCTTTAAATTAAGACATTTTTGGCGATGAGGACTTTCTTCCATCCAGTGTCACTATCGACCTATACCAGAAGACAACAACCTAAATCAACCACCTAAAGCCAACGCAGAGGTTGAAGCTGGACCGTCCACTTCATTTACTCGAACCCCTGCAGAACTTGACGTCGACGATAATTATTTAGCTTCTACCAGTTTTGTGTCCTCTGAAGCTGTAAAACCATTTCCCAAGGTCGTTGCTCAAAAATTCACGAAGAGGCTAAACGATTGAAGGATTTGAAAATAATAAAGAAAGTTGAGACAGTTAAGAGAAACTTTTTCAAGAAAAAACCTGCGCCAACATTGGCACAAAACGTAGACAGTACAGACGAATCAGATGAGATGAACTTGTCGTCCAAATCTGATGATGATATTAGTTTGACTGACGAAGTAAACGCCCAGCAACTGGAAAAGCAATTAGAAACTGAAACAATCAACGAAGGTGAAACCTATTGGTCAAAGCTCTGGATATTATATGGCCAATGTTTTGACAGTAAAACCCGAAATATGTATCACTAACCTAAAAAAAGCTGCTGAGGCAAACACATTTTTGTTGGATGATTCGGCCCGAAGTTACATGATTGATGAAAAAGACGTTATTTTAAAATTACTTCCTCCAATGACCACTGGAGGATCGGCTCGTCAGCAGTCATATTTCAAATTTGCCGTAGATCTTAGCTCTTATGCTTTAAAATAATCAAAACATTAAAGTTTTATTTTGTCATTGCTGTTTTTATATCTTGGCTCAAGGTAGATTGCCATATGGATCAAGGTACAACCCCATGTTGTACCTTGAGAGACTTTTCACTTTTTTTTTATTAATTCATAACATTTTTCCTCATTTTTTTTTTCAAGAACCATATCATCATAGTGAAGACAAAAAGTCAAAAGTTATGATAGCAACAATCATATTACCGAAATGTTATTTCAATTACATTTTAGGAACACTTGCTAAAGTGGTCGCAAGGTACGACACCTTCCCCTAAGTGTAGAAATGTCCCATCATTGGTATTAGCAAAACTGGGCGACAAAAAATGCTTTTAAATTGAGATTTTTATTGTTATATGGCAATTTTAAACAGAAAACTCAGTGCAGTTGATTTTATTTTTGGATATGTTTTTAGGGGCTACTTGAAAATGGTGGACAATTACAAAAAAAAGGTCGGGGATAGACCTGATCGAAAAAGTTTGTAGCTAACATTATTTCCCCACCAAATATTTATTTACACACATTTTGAAAAGAATTCGTAAAAATAAAAATAGATACGTACATCCGCCAGTTGAAGACATCGGACTGGTTGAAAAAAATAAAATTAAACAGAAGCTGACTATTACGAAAACCTTAAGAAGAAGCCAAATAAGATTTAAGGAAATTTTAAAAAAATAAGGCTTTCTACATTAGTTTTGATCTAACTTTAAGTTGGTTTTTGATCTGTTTATTGTATTAAGATGTTTGATTGTTTTTAAGTTTCAAATCGTCTATTTTATTTATTAAACTTCGTTTTGTATAAACAAATAAATATATTTTTCTTTTTAATTTTTAATTTCTACTTTCAAATAGCCTCTATAAACCTTTCGGTTTTTTGTCAGCAGAATAGTTTCCAATAAGTGTTATCAAGTAATTACTTTTTTAGTTAATTCTATCACTAATGATTAAATACGAACCAATTTATTTCAAAAATATTTTATAGTGTCATATAGATTAAAATTTTTCCGTTGGTATTTAATATTCATAATTTCTAAAACCGATAATACAGCTTCTATTAATCAACACATTTTTAACTAAAAAATATAGGCCCGTACTTACTTGACAATATTCAAATATTCCGAAATGTTAACTAATCACAATATTATGATCTATCAGAATAATATCAATATTCAAATAAAGAAGTTAATGGAGGTCCTGCATTTACGAAAAAAAAAAAAAAAAAAAAAAAAAAAATGCAATTCGATATCGTATGCGCAACTTAATATAAAACAAAAGACCTTGAACGAATTTTTTTTATATTTTTGAAAATAAATGTTATATAGTAGAATAAAGAAATGAAACTAATTTGTTTTTATCCCTGATATTTTTGTTTTTAACACGTCCTTAAATTGAGGTTCGAGATATACAACTTTTTCATACAGCAATACATTTCAATTAAAATGCATGTTTGTAGTGCGTGATGATCAGACGGCTAGATTGCTGTGCCGTACCGTAACGTGTATGTCAACCTTTAGGACCGCTTTTAAACAGAAAACATTTAAATTTTAATAATCAGAAAGTATTTATAATTAACGTTTGGACAAACCTCTGGAAGAGACCTTGAACAAAGCTCTAAAATATTAATTACTGAAAAATATTGTAAAGTAATTGAATATTTATTTCTATTCAAATATGATACTTATATTTATATTAGACAATAAAAAAATAAATATCGAACGAAACTACTCCTAGTCGTCGTCTAAAAATACATATAAATATAATTTAATTATCAACAACTTCAGTATTATTGGTATTATTATTATTAGAAGTATTATTACTAGAAGTATTATTACTGCAACTGGCAGCCATCGAAATTGTACATTCTCCTATCTTAGCTATAGCAGCCGAATTATTTTCAAACAAGCCAATTCTTTGGAAAAAGTTTGCGTCGTCGTTTTGTTGCTGCTCCTCTTCCTCTTGGTCGGTTAGTTTCTCGGCTAATTCCGTTTTTATTTCGACCAGCGGCTCCATAAATCCCTGTTCGTGCAGATCCGATGAATCGTTTTCTAATTCTGAGTTATCTGTCATGTCTTGAGAATTAAAGTTGGAGGTATTATCATATTTATAGTGGTAATTCATTTCGCCAAACGAATCTCTTTGGAAGGATTGATAACCATGGCCGTGTCCAAAAGAACCTGTTAAAAATAAAATTGAATGAAATATTGTTTTAAAGTTAAAAACTTCTTTCTAGTAGGTACATTAAATATTTTTTATTTTGATTCAATATAAAATGATTTCTTTTGTAATTTCGATTGAACATAATTCCAAATAGAATGTAGTGTTAATCTAACATAAAATATTATTCAAAAAAGACGCAAAGATAACTTGTGTGGAAAAAGTAAAAATTGTAGAACATGTAATTACTTTTAGTTATGGCACAGAACATATACAAAGTTTGAATAATGTTGCCTGTATCTATTTTCAATTAAAATACGCGTCTTTTGAAGTGGATAATTTTAGATTTGGTCCATTTGATTTTAGTGTTGGAAAAGTGCTACTATAGCATCAAAATTATTACATGGAACTCTTCTTTGAGGCATAGTATCTATAAAACTAATAAACACAAGATAAGGTAAAGGATGTTTATTTCATTATGCCAGTTGGGGGTGGGCCGCTACAGGCTTTCCTAGTCTCTTCAACCGCACTGGAAGGATCGGGTCTGAGGGGATGGGGTGGAAAGAATGGTGGTAGGTATCCGAGAGAATCTTACCGACACAGGAATTACCTATTACTATGAGAAAACCTCTGAAAAACTCATAACAAGCGAGGCCGCGGCGGTGGGGTTCGAACGACCACCTCCGTCGGTAAGTACACACAAGTGCAGAAATCCACATATAGTCGATCTCATTGATTTATATGCAATAATACGGGACATATTTTCAGAGTGATGACGTATACGCCATAATTTGAGGAGATATTTCTTATATCTTCATAAACATGGAATACCAAGATACTTTGAATTTGTTTTATGTGCAAATAATCTTTAAACTTTACAAAGATTTAACTAATAATAAATATTATTTGCACATAAAACAAATTCAATACGGAAATTGCAATGACAAAAATGACGCATGTTTTAGAGATTTTAGCGGTTTGAAAGTAAGGGGACAGAAGAGAGTCATAGTCATAAGGATCCGTACATAAGCTGGATGAGGCCACCGTTTCAGTCTACGAACATCTCCTTCATGGAATGGAACGAAAGTCCGTCTCTAATAGGCACAAGTGTTTACCAATGAAATCAAAATTGGACTGGTTAGTGATGACAATCGGCAAATAGCGACTTAATTTTCCCCGCGAAGTTGTTCCTTTTCGAGTGGGTACCGAAATGTTTTGGGGAGGAGGAATAATGTTTAACCGCCGTACCCCATTAATTGGCATACCACAGAATATGACCAGTTAAATTTACATCGAACAAGTTATTATGCCCATTATCTATCCCATACGTAACCATTTAAGCGAAAATTTGTTGTTTGGCGACAACGCCCGACCACATTGCGCAAGAAGGGTTCAATCAGTGTTACCAGATCTCCTGTTTTCACTCTTAATCTCCTGTTCTACTGTTTTCACTATGAAATCTACTGTTTTTAGCCTCAGTGTGTATTTTTTTTTTATAAAATCTTGTTGATTTCAGTAATATTCACTAGAATATTTTTCTATGACACTGTGTTTCGACGACGATTGTCGATTGCGATTTCGACCGCATTTCTGCCCGCTCCTCCTTCCTCCATGGCCCGCTCAGAGCCAGAATAGTTTTGTAATTTTATTTTATTATTAAAACATTTGCATTTGTTTCCTTTATATGTGTTTATGATTTTTTTTTAATATGTTATGCCTACATCTTACGTGAAATTTATAATTTATTTGTTTGACCTGTTATACTAACCGACTAGAAGGCGATTTGGTTTTTTCAGCTTCGGCGGGATTTATCATTTTGACAATTGACAGTTGCTAAATTACGTGACGTTCCGATGAAAATGAAAAATATTTATATAACTATTCGTAATTTCTTATACTCGTACTAGGATCCTCTATTAAAAAATAGATTTATTAAAATCTTCTGTTGAAAAAAGCAGTCTCCTGTTTTTTGACTACATTCCTATTGTTTACAGAAATTTCCATCTGGCAACACTGGGTTCAATACACTTGAAACAGGACATATCATTAGACTGAATTGGTCAACCAACTCGCCTGATATGAATTCGATCGAAAACATGTGGAATTACATTGTTACGAGTCATTTGTTAGTTTTTAATTTTCTAAGTATCCCAGTTTGTGGAAAATACTCAGATTCAGAAAACTATATACTTTACAAATATATTTTGTTTTTCTAACAAACATTATCCAAGACTGATTATTTTGATATAATCGAGTAATTAATTATTAAAGAGATCAATCATTTCTTATTTAATTTATTATATTTTTTCTTTGGCCATAAAATTAATTTTATTTAAATTTGGCGTTAAAATATTTAAAAACGCGAGGTTGCCATATAGCCAAGTAGTGTTAGGTGACGTCACTGTGCACTATTTTATTTTTTCTCCACTTAATAATGGCAAGAAAATTAGCAAGTACAATTTACCTGCCTCTTTTTAAATTTATTATTTTTTTTAAATCATATTGATCCCTGTGTAATTTAATTTACGTACATCTTATCCACTTCAAAAGATACAACACCTTCGAAAAACAGCTAAATATGCAAAGTTTCTGACGTATTTGCAATTTAAATGCTTCTAATAGTGTTTAATAAGATGGTTTTATTTAAAGGGATGGTAATTTTCCTAAAAGCGTCCGAGAGTTAAAATAATAATAATAATAATAATAATAATAATAATAATAATAATAATAATAATAATAATAATAATAATAATAATAATAATAATAATAATAATAATAATAATAATAATAATAATAATAATAATAATAATAATAATAATAATAATAATAATAATAATAATAATAATAATAATAATAATAATAATAATAATAATAATAATAATAATAATAATAATAATAATAATAATAATAATAATAATAATAATAATAATAATAATAATAATAATAATAATAATAATAATAATAATAATAATAATAATAATAATAATAATAATAATAATAATAATAATAATAATAATAATAATAATAATAATAATAATAATAATAAAAAGAGAATATAGAAGTATTCCGTCTAAATTATAATCTTTAGCTCCCAAACTTTTGTTTAGGTTCAACTATATACTGAGAATTAAGAACATAATTGCTGGAAGCGGGGTATTCAATATGCGATAAATATTAATTCCTTGCATATAAAACAATATTTTCATTGATACAAAATTAATATATTTTCTAAAACTTAATTTAAAATATCCCAGTCTTGGTTAAAATATTTAACGGCTCATATTTAATAGTTCAACCAGTTCACTTATTCAATCAGACTATTTTAAATAAATCATTACATCTCCTACAACTGTGACGCATTTCTACAAAATGGTTCTGATTACAAAATATTGACTACAAAACCTACAGAAATATCCGAATATCCTCAAATTAGCGGTAAGACTCCAAAATTTGCTCAATGCTCTAAAATTTGCTAAAAAAAGTTTAGTTCTGAAACTAGGATCCAATCAGCACCAAGTACCTTATCTTGAAGTCTCAGAAACCACCTTTCCAGGGTAGTCAGGAGTTTCTCAGGACAGGGCTCTAGGCACAATGCTCTATAAAACACAGTGACTGGGACGACAATTATTATAATATCGAGTCATGAAGCTTAAGATCAGCTATAAGAAACCTTAAATCTAATTCAAGATTATGCAATAAAAATAAAAAATAAATATATTAATGCAACGTTTATTTACACTTAAAAAAAACAATACTCACAACTTCTCCTAAATAACACATTATTACAACCAATCTGTGCGTTAATTTAGATACACACCTTGACAAAAAATTAATTTGGAAAACCTACATTATGAAAAAGAGAAAACAGTACAATTTTAAAATTACACTGCATGGCTACTGAGAAGTGCCAAGTCAAAAATTGTTTTGTAGATATGTGTCACAATTTGTGGGGTCTATTCATCTAATTGAAAATGTCAGCTGTCCTAATAGACTATGGGTCGGATAGGGAAAATTTAGGGAATGATTTTCTCATCGAGATTTTACCCACCATCAAACTGTAATTTAAATATTACTATTACAAGCGTAATTTTAAACAATATGTCGCCTATTTTCCATGGCAGATGGGGCCTCAATTTAAAATTGAAATTTACGACCCAGGACCAGTTTTTTATCAAAAAGTTATTGAAATACTTTTAGTGAAACACCTTCTGTCGTCCAAAAATAATGGTGTCAGAGGGTATAACTAAAAATTACCATTACCATAAAAGTAATTAAACACTCTAAGCTTGTGTGAAGTTAAATTTAGCAATATACATTGACCAAATATTTATCTAAACTGTACATATTGGCTGGCTATGCCCTTATTATTGCAAAAAGAAACGACACCAATTTCAATATACATTATTTATAATCTAAAATGGTAAAAACCAAGTGAATCCCTTACAAATGTGGATAAATAATATATTTTTTCTCAGACTGACATTAAATATCACTGCCTAGGCATTAAAAATCATTTTTACTGCCTCAGCATTAAAAAATTACTTTTTCTTCTTGTTTTTTTTTTGAAGCCTTCATCTGCATCTACATCTACAGAGTTACTATAGGTATATTTTAATTTAATAATTCACAAAATGGTTAATAGTAACGGAACTGATAATGCGATTCATAATCTTTACTGTGCACGCAATTGTGGTGCATATTTAACATTATATTATCATCCTTCGGTAGATATATGTAATCTAATCGAAAATTATAAAATACGATTAGAATACTAAAAATGCGTGGAGTTATATCCATTATACTATAAAAGTCTTTCCACTGCTAGAAGGTGTAAAATCCGCTGAGGTGGGTAGCGAAATTCTGCTATTGTTGGCAACATTGGAAAAAGTCCTGCATCCAGGCACATTTTACAAATATCCTCCAGAAGGCGTATCGCTTAGCTTGAATCGTGGATTAAGGCGCGTTCTCAAGATTCGATTTTAGTTGAACGATTTTTATTGATCAACTAAAATTGAATCAATTTTTGTTCACATGATCCAATGAATGTTGAACCGATAGTTAAAAGCGAAATGGCGACTAACGTGGTTGTTCGAGCGGCTTCCGCGTCATTTATGAATTAATAAATACGGAAATGAGAAATATTTTATCAGAATGTAAGAAGAAACGAGCAAAACGCAGTATTTGGGTTCGGAAACGGATTTTGAGAAGGCATACGTTAAGGTACCATTTCGGTAGGCGCGACAGACGACCGCCGACGCGACATACGACCGCCGACGCGACCGAGAAGTGTCGCGTCACATCTAAAATACATACAATTATATGAAACACATTTTGCACGGTGAGACACTTCCTGGAGACACTTCTGAATCTGACTCGGGGCAAAGGTTTGCTGCCTGTTGCACTCGAGGTCAGTCCTCGAGCATCGCTTCATCGCTTGGAGGTGAATAGGTTGAAAATTTCTTTCGATCTAGGCAGTGTTGCCAGATTTTGGAACAGTATGGATGAAAAAAAAACCGTAGATCTGAACAGTAGATTTTAATACAGGAGGAAATAATTGAAATTTGCATTGTAGTAAATAAAAAAACAAGTATATAAGAAACGAAAAATAAACTTTTACGACCCAAATTAGAAGGTAAACAAAGAATAAACACAAATAATATTATTTTTAATATATACTTAACGTACGGAAACAAAAAAAAAAACAATGAAAAATAATAGGTACCTACTTCTTTTAGATCAGTCTGAATCAGATAATTCAAAATCGTAGTGTACATGTTCTTTTTATGATGCCCTATTAATTCTTTGTTTCATTTTAAATAAAAACAATGATTATCTTGATGTTTTTTTTTTATGGAGCCAACCTAGAGTAGTGGATGCTTATTACGCTGCTTTTACTGCAAGAAAATTTACTAGAGAAAATATTCTTTAACCATTTGCTGAAGAATGAGGCAACCTTAATAAATTAAGAACAAAATTTGCTAGAGACAAAAACAGTGGATCTACGTGAAAACAGTAGGTCTGGCAACGCTGATCGTTCCCTCGAATGGTTATCCTGTAAGTGTCGCGCGACACTTCTCAAGCTTGCGAAATGTACCAAGCGTAACATTTATTCATCTGTCGTCCTACTCGACCTTGGGGTCGCATCAGTGGTCGCTTGTCTCTTGACGCGCCTACCCAAATGGTACCTTTAGGCGTTTCACGAACGCATTTGTACGAGAACTTGCCGCAAATGTTGAAGGATACAGGAATCAAGATTGACAGAGAAAAATTTAAAGCACTTCTTTCTTAAAGTTAAGTTGAAAATTGTTAAAAAAGATACAACTTATGCGTAGAGCACTCCCAGCAGCTATAAAATTACAAATTGTAATGAGATATTTAGTAACAGGAGATTTATTCAGTACTTTTATAATTGAGTACCAGAAACATTAATTCAAATTTCGAATTATGCATAAAAATCGTAAAGTTGGAATGGGTCAAACTTTTGTTGGAGCGAGTTTTCTCGTTCTCACAGTCTTTTTTATTCGATTTTAGTGGGTCAATAAAAATCGTTCAACTAAAATCGACTCGTGAGAACGAGTCAGGGCCGTCTTTATTTTTGTTGGATTCAGATATAGAAATAGCTATTTGTATTACTAGGGAGGAAAGTGCCACTTTTCCACCAGCAGGATGAAGTTTACTGCCCGACGCGAAGCGGAGGGCAGTAAACATCCAAGGGAGGAAAAGGCACTTTACTCCCAAGTAATACATATGATTTTTCCGCCTCCCTCAAATAACAAGTCATTTTTAAATAATTTTCCTCGGCGCATTGCTTGAAATGTAAATACTGTTTTTCGTATTTTTCTTTAGATTTTTGGGGTAATAGAGATTGTACTGTTGCATTAACCTGTTCCAAAATATCCGGTGGTGTATTAATTATATCTTCAAATTCGCTTAAATCACTCATTTTTTAAATATTATTTTATATTTTGTAGATATATTATAGCGTAACACACTTTGAAACTGATCTGTCAATCGACCATAGCATGCTATAATATTTCTGTCCTAAATTCGAAAATCGGATGAATCTATGAATTGAAGTCAAATTATTAATGTAAAAATCGTTAAATTAAAATAACAATTTACTGGTTTTTACTATTTTGCAAAATACAGGGTGTATAAATAAACGGTAACATTTATACTTATATAATAGAATATAGTTTAGGTCGTCAATGCCGTATAAGCTATTTCATTTATGACATACCATGACGTCACTTTTACTTTTCCTCCCTAGGGAGTAAAAGTACTTTTCCTCCCTAGGGAGGAAAAGTACGACTTTGCTCCCTGCAATGAGGCCAGAAAATGTATACTTTGGATAGAGGTAGGCGGTAAAATATTTTTTCTTCGATTGATATTAAATGTCACATTTACTTTTTCTTCTTTTCTCTTTTGAAGTCATTTCAGTTCTATTTTTTTTTTCAACACTGTATAAACAATTGGAGAAAAAATTATGTGTTTCACACGGCAGAGAAACAGATTTACTGCCTTGGCTAGATTTATTGCCTCGGCTTCGTCTCGGCAATGTAATGCTAGCTGCAGCAGTAAGTCTGTTAATTATCTGCTTAGTTAAACAAATAACTATTGTTTTTTTATCTGTTTTATAACAACTTTTATTTAAATCCATATTGTGTTTTTTTTTTATTTTGCTGTTGTCAATTAGTTTATTGTTCTAATGATTTTAAAATTAGTATATTCAGTATTATTTTATAAAAACATATTTTATTTGTGGAGATATGAAAACATTAAACGTCTGATATTTTTAAAACGGTACAGTAAATTCATAAATAGAAAAAGGTTTTAGTATTATTATCCTTCAGAGTTAATTGTATATATTTTATTTATTTTTTTCACGTTTTTTAAAGATAATTAAAATTCTCAAATATAGAGCCTATACAAAAACTAATAAGAAAACCATTGAAACCTAAAAGTCAGTAGTATGTCAGTAGTCACTTATTGTTTCTTCTTTTTTAACACTCTATTTTGCCTTTGTTTGTAAGACCTTCAGCCAAATTATTTAATATAACATTTTTTTGACTTTTGAAAAGTTTCTTTGTCCACTTTTCAGACATGTGCTTCGGATCAATCCATTACTATTCACTATAATATTTTTATTAAATAATTACGAGTGGTTAAGTAAAATACGTTTTGCTGGTAAAAAGATCATTTAAACTCCTGTACGGCATGAGAAAGAGAAATTTCACTCTTTATAACCATTGTACTGGGTGGCAATGAGACCAGGGTCACGTTAATATTTCTTATTTATAAAGCAATTTTGATCAAATTTAAGACAAACCTAGTAGACATAATTGCAAATCGACACGTATACATAAACAAAATGGCAGAGCTTTGGTTTTAAGGAAAATGCCATTTTGTTTTATTTTTAAATTTATCTATTTTTTGTTTTTGAATCTTCGTTTCAAATTACATATGACAGTGTTGCCAAATTAAAATTTTTATCACACACATTTCATGTAGAAGGCCATGAACTGGAAAATAATATTCTAAATGGTGCATGATGCATATTTAAAAAACTCTCTCAAAAGACACATACCGAAGCATTGGCGCTAATCAAAGAGGATGGCACGAAAACTGCCAACCTCAAAGATAGCTTCAAGCTTCTGCTGTCAACACACTTCCCTGACTCGGTCATCACAGACATGGCGGACTGGGCAGAGGAAGAATACAATCCATCTGTCTATGATTGGCAAACTGCCAAACACATTGTGGTACATACCATTATGGTAGAAGGTTTATCACTGCAAGTATTTCAATAAATATCTATAGTGTGTCCCAAAATTTTTTAAAGACATGGGAAAAAAGTGTATCTTACATTTCCCCAAAACAATATTGATAACAATTGTAAAGAAAAAAAAGTTCAGTAATATTTTATTTTAAATATAAGATGGAACTTTTTTCTTATTTGTATAAAACGTTTTGGGACACCCTGTATACGTAAGAAATGCCATTTAGTTGTATATGATAAAAAAAACCTAAAAGTTCAGTTTTTCACTGAGGCCCTATGTGCCATGTAAAAAATATACTGCATAGTATATAAAGTAGTATTTAAATTAAATAGTTTGTTAGTGGATAAAATCAACCCCTAAATTTACTCTATCCAGCTTGTAGTCTGTAACTATTCTGAGCCCGATTTTTTTTTCAGCATAATAATAGAAATAAATTTACAATCTACATAAATGAAATCTAAAATAAATATAAAATCTATCAACATTTCAACCAAAATATAAAATCTATCAACATTTTAACTAAAATATAAAAATCATATAAAAAACGCTACACAAAACTAAAAAACACTTACCCGTAAGAGTCATCCGGGGCCTACCTCTCTGACGTTTAAGTGGCCGTGCAACTACAAAAGTAATAAAAACTTGGAATATTCCAAATAATTGGACTGAAGCAAGTCCACCACATCTAGTAGCAATGTGTAGCATTCAGGTTAGATAAGCCAATATTATGTTATTACCTTTGTTTTTGCAATAAAGAAATACACATTTAGTTTCTAAATAATGCTTTTATCATATAAACACTAGATACGTAATGCCAAATATGTTTTGTTCCTCGAGGATATTTCATTGTCATTGTTTTTCCAATCTTAAATTATGAAATTACCGCTGCACTAGTTTTTAACTGCTGTAAACTTTGGAAGATTAAAGGTCTGTTTCAACAAAGATTAGTCACTGACCCCAGGATTCTGCGCATTATATAATTAAGTTGTACAAATAATCTAGTGCGCAGAATCCTGAGGTCAGTAACTGGTTTCTAATCGTTGGAACATACCTTATAACACCTGTTTATTCATCGAATAAAGGCGGTACAGTTGAACTGTAATCTTACCCCTTGGAACAAACCTTTTGTCCCTAAAATCAAAGGCTGTTGAACGGTACTTATTTGAATACAAAACGATTGCACAATAATTATGTACAATATTTACACTACTTTTAAATTAACGATTTACTTGCTTGTAAGAAATGTAAAACTCCATTTTGGTAGTTAGGATTTGTACTGCTGGCTCGATATAAAACAGAATCACACCGTATAATTACATTTTTTATTCTATGCTAGACGAAGTGAGTTTGTTGAAAGGTCGAAACAAGAATGATTGACGAGAACGGTATCGGCTGACAGTTCAAAGTTCGAAATTGGAGTGAAGAAAATATGAATAAAATTAATCTAAATCGATACCACAAAATGTATGCATGCAACTAGTTTCGGCCTATCTGTCATTATCAGACCTGAGATACAAAAACACATTGTTTTTTTTTAAGTTGAAGTGACAGCAGAGATATACAGGGTGCTAGAATATAGAGCTACCACGTATTGTAGAAGTCAAAATAAGTCGATTGGACCAAAATGTACAGTTTATCCTTGAGAAAAGTTCAAAGTTTACTTAAAAAATCCTATTTTTGTACACTTTTTAGAAATACGTGAAAAACATTTAATGAAATTTGGCAACAGTACATTTTAGAGGATTAACCAGCCCCATCCACTGGTATTTTTTTATTTTCTTAGGGGAAGTAATACGGCTCTTCATTTTTTGACTCTTGTGCTCAAATTGTGACATTCGACATGAAAAATTAAAATGCACCCACCTTAAAACATCATCGTATTCTCGTAGTTCATTTATGTTATTATTTTCCACAGTTGTTCGGAATTACTTTCAAAGTAATTTGAACCTCGCACACTTTAACGCCCCCCCAGATGAAGAAGTCACAGATTTAAATCTGAAGACCCCGGAGGCCATTGAACGGGTGCTCCTTATCTCCTACCATTAAATTGCTCATTTAAAGATATTCTCTCATGGTGCGTGCAAAATGAGGTGGTGGACCGTCGTGCAAATTAAGGGGAAAGTCTTCTACTAATTCTGGTTAAATTTCTTGAAGGAAAGAAAGTTAACTTGCGCCATCCAGACTATGAGGCAATTGGAGAGTGTTGTATATTTTCCCCAGGATTAGTACTCAAACACCATAGCTTTTATGAACACTTTATTGAACATCTTACAGATACAAAGAAAGCCTCTATTCAATGACGCGCCAAGACTCGCCTTTTTTTATCATACCTAACAGAGATAAGACAGCAGATGGTTTCAATCATATACAAAACTTGTCTACGCGTTTTGGACCGATTTTTGGCACTCGCTGCGCATCGCGCATGGTGGTTCAACATTGAACTATAAACGACTGACAATAGTGACAATTACGTGAAGGTAGTTCTTACTCAACGACCATAAACTATGACAGTCAGTTATTATTGGTCATTAACATATTTCAATCGTTCATGTTACATTTCAACCAATAGCGTAATCAGTGTGTAATGTCTTATAAATACTATTTGTTTGTACCTTGTTCCATAATTTCAACAATGAACATAACCTATAACTAAATAAAATACTGGAAATTTATTTAATCGTGTTTACTACATGAATTGAATATATTAAGGTAGGAAATAAATATATTTCTACTACAAATTTTTAATAAAGTAGTTTTTTGTTATACTTAGAAGTTCACACTATGTGTAAATCCTTATTATCTATATATCAGTCCATGAAACGTGGCCTAACCAATTTCTGTATTTATTTCAGTTTAATCATGTCCAAACCCAATACAAGAGGGGATGCCATGATAAAAGGAATTCAGAATGAATAGATCAGAACATGGATTCTTATATGTGCGAACTTAACACGTTACGTGTTGAATAGATAAAGACATTACATAAGAATGGCAGTCTGTCGATGAAGATAGGTGTCTCAACATAATATGCTGTCTTGAAAGATGAGAATCCACTGCAGGTCAGGATACTACGGCAATTTTATGTGCTGGCGACTAAAAATTGGAGTTACTTTTTAGGTACTACATAAAGAGATGAATATTATAATATTAAAGTTATCATAGTTTTAAATAGCAGTCTCATATTCATATATTCTCTTTTGGCGTTTTCTGAATGTTTTCTTTTTTAAAGCTTGAAATACTTCCTTATATTTATGAATATTAAATGGTACTAAAATATCCAACAGTTTAAAATTATGGGACAAAATATTCTTGACAAATAAAGTGAAAGCAATTGTCTTTTAACTTACTGTGAGTGACTTAAGTGATATTTTTACTATTTTGTGAAACCATAGAATTTTTCTTTTTATTTCAGTGATTTTAATAATCATTTTTTAGATTTTTTGTGTCACTGCTGTAATAAAAAATGTGTTCTTTATGTACATTTACTTAATACCTTCTGTTTAATGACATTACCTTTACAAAATATAAATTTGTAGTAAATGAGTTTGTAACATTGTACCTAAATCGATATTTTTCGCAATTTTGCAAAAAATATCGAGTTTGTGTACAAAGTTACAAATTTTTATTGCTAAGTTTTTCAATGATGCCGCCTAAATTTAAATTAAAGAAAATCTGCATTACCGGTAAATATCTAGTTCGCGCTCGTTGCCAAGCGCGTCGCCACAGTCAACGCGCATGGATCATGCTTCCAGAAATTTGTATTAGAATTGTCACTCTGTTAATGTCTTCTCTCTGATACCTAACCTCCAACATCAATGTTGCCAATTGACATTTTTGGTGCGTTCGGTTGTTGCACAATATTTGTTCGTTTATACAACAGAGAGTAGGTTCATCATGCCACGACGTGTAAAAGAAGGATCATCAGTACATAAGAAATTGGTTTGGAACCCGTTGTCGACTAATCTGCGCCCTTGAATAATTTGTGAAACATTTAAAGATCCGTGGTCAAAAGGCAATAATTTTTACACTAGCTGGATGTGAAATGAACGAATTAATTCATCACTAAAGATCCGACTTGTTATGTTTTTTGGAATATCAGTCTCTATTTGCAAAGTTATGGTACTGGTTATCAATCAACTGAGAACAGCTTCTTCCACAATGGGTGTTCGGGCTTGTCGAGGTATTCCAGCGTTAATTCTAACTGGCTTCAACCTTCCTGTTTCTCAAAGACGTCTTTCGATTCGTGCAAAACTTTTGTAATTTGTAATTCTCCGATTTAGATGCCTCTCTTAATACACGCGGAGGCTTTCGTGGCATTTACCTTGACAATATCCAGGAACTAATAGCATTCCGATGTGCTCCATAAAAAGGATATCTATATTTGCTAGCTGCCAAAGTAACAACAACAACAACAACAGCAATAGCTGTGTTCGCGATAAAAAAAGATTAATACAAAAGCAACTAAAAGTGAACAACTTATTGAAATTTGTTTCCTGTCAAAATCACGACTTTTGTTTTGTTGATGTGTACATGGTCAACTTCATTTTTTACTACAATTAAACTTGTACTAAGAATATCAGTTATCATTGTTTGAGGAAATACTTGTATTTTGTTTCTTTTGAAACTATGCGAAATTGGAATTTTTACGAGAGTCAAAAATAAAGATGATAAATAAGCCTTTCCATTAAAAGTCTTAGAACCCTATTACCACCCCTTAGAAAAAAATTACCGGGGAATGAGGGTGTTTTTAACCCTTCTACAATTTTCTTTGATTATTTAAAGTAGGATAATCATCTAAAATGTACTTTTGCTAAATTTCAATAAATTTGTTTTATTTATTTCTGAACAGCGTACAAAAATGTGATTTTTTATGTAAACTGAACTTTTCTCACAAACGGTACATTTTAGTATATAAGTTGGGTCCAATTGACTTATTTTGACCTCTACAATACGTTTTAGCTCTATGGACCAGCAATTTTGGGACACCCTGTATTGTTTTAATAAATTAAAACAAAAATGGGTTGTGACTATTTTAAAATTTGTACTAAAAATCCTGATATACAGTACTTATTATTTTGTATTAGACATAGCCGTGATTTCACAGCCAACATGTGGCAACTACGATATCACTCCTATTGCTATGCTCTCTGGCTTTGTGACCATCATTCGGTTTGGCTAATATCCCACAACCATACCTACTAATTCTACTCGATGACTGGCTGTTGCCCTGTCGCCATTTTATTAACTTATATACTAGTCGCATGCCTAACACGAAACAATAAGTACTATATATGCAAAAATGTATTCACAATGATTATAGATGTCCTATTTGCTGGAAACTTAAAATATTCACTCGACTCTAATACATTTCCTTAATTTTGCACTTGAACAAATGAGGATTGTACATGAATTTAGATCACTAAAATTTGCATGTTGACTGCCCTTGAGTTGGGAGGTAAATTAAGAACTTTTTATAGATACGTTGAAGTTAACAACTTCTATTTTGTACTTCTTTTATAGTGGTATTTAGAAGATGTAGATTAAATATATTAGGTAAATATTTTAACAAAATTGGAAGTGCCTTCATCATTTCCAAAACATTCTAATCTTATAAAATAATTCA